TTTTATCTGCATGTCAACCTGTTATTGTTTCTGAAATGTCGTCAGTTACCCCATCTTGTTTATTTCCATCAGTTACCCCGCTTTCTCCAGAACCTTCCACTTCACTTTCATCAGGATCTTCAAATTGGGCGCAATTATTTATTGTCAATTGGGAAAATTTTCCAACTGAGTTTTTAAGTGACATCAACAGCAAGCGAAAGCCCTCTGAGTCACATATACGACAAATGGTTAGCTTATTAATGAGAGATGTTTTGCGCCATGATCACAAGCCTAATCGAAACAGTTTACGAATTATTGCTCAAAAAGTTGTTTCAAGGTTGTTTATTCTTTTTTACACTTTAAATATGCTTCTTTACCCATTTAACCATTTACCCCTTCCTTATCCATTAAATTATGGATAAGGGTAGATAGAGCTCGTAAACCTTTGATGGTTTGAGTGGTAGTAACTAATAATAATGACTAATAATAAAAATACTGATGCCTCAAGGGGAACTTCTGGTTATAAAAAACTGCTTTAACTCTTCCATAAAGTCATATATTTTAAAAATGGCATTATGCAGACCCATACAATCCACACAAGTGTGAAATTCTGGACATTAAGACTTTAAAAAAATAATTTAACTTTTTAACATTAATTGGCAGATTTTTGTTAAGTTAAAGAAAAAAAGTTTATACATAGTTTTAATAAAAATCAAATTTAATATAAAGTTTGCATAAGTTGTTGGTTTTTATAAAATCTTGAAAACAATTTTCTTACTTAATATGAACTTCCATGTTATAGATATCCTGATGCATTTGTTGATGAAATAAATGGCAAGATAATTAGCAACGGAGTTGAAACATTAATGTATAGGATGGAGTCAAGAAAGGAAAACGCAAATCGGAAAGCCTCTTTGTCAGGAAATTGTAAGAGGATGAAACTAAATGTACATAGTATACACCCACATGGATGGGACCCAAATATTTCCAGTGTATCTATAGACTTACTAAATGCAAAGGTAAAAATCTTTAAATTCAATATAATTTTAAATTTTCTTTGAATTGATTTTAATAAAAATTCATTATTATTTATTATTTTTTTTGAATACTTTAGGAGCAGCTACAGCAATTATTTAGAAATTTGCCTTGGCCAAAAAAAGATGTTGATAAGCTAATGGCAGACACATTTTCTTTGCAACGCCATACAATTAATGCAATAGTTCCGTTTTGTGAAGTTTTGCTTCAATGGCCATTTTTATCACAATTGGAGTATGTTATGGATCATTTTTCCAATCTGATGAGTTTTTCATTGATGGACAATTTAAGAAACGCAGTGGCAAGCAAGTCTAATCTTATTTTTCTATACTTTGAAACTATGACCAAAAAAAATGTTGTGAAGGAAATTTTACTTGAAGCAAAAAGTATAGGTATTGAATATGGAGGCGTTCAGCGAGCGTTATGTTGGGCATGGCTGCCTCTAATTATAGCATATTTTGGAGATAAAACTGAACATTTGATATTATCAGTTAATGTAAGTTTTTATTAAAAAAGTGTTTGTTCACAATAATTATGAAAATTCTTAATAATTATGAAAACTCTTTTTTTTTTGTCAGATTTTAGCCACTATATCAGAGATGGAAGATCTTTGTCCAACTTCTCATCCAATGATTTTTGTAAAAGGTAATTTTCAAATTATAATAATTTACATTATAATCAGGGCACATGAAATTTCTTTGGCATATATATGAATATTATAAATAAGAAATTTTTATTTTTTTGTTGTTGACAGGGACTTGGTTTGAATCAGAATATTTTTATGTGTTGATTGAAAAAAAACTTTCTTATACATTCACTGATGCTCTATCGGCTGTTAGTGTATTATTTGCAATTTATTATGTTATGAATATGCAATATGATCCAAACGTTTTTGCAACATTGGAGTTTATTCAAAGGTAAAAAAGTTGTTTTAAAACAATTAGCAAGTTTTTAAAACAATTAATGCAAGTTAATTCGCCAGATTTATTTTAGATTAAAAGTACCCGAGTATTTATTGCTCATTTTTATTTATGTTCATGATCAATATAAAAGCTTGTGTATTATATTTTTTTTGTTAGGTATATGGTGGACTATAATCCTGAAAATGTAAAAAATAACGCTAAAGGGAAAAAACCAGGAACAGTTGTTTGCCCACGAGTTCTAACTCTAATTCGAGAACTAAATAGTTATAGTTTAAATTCTGTTTAATCGAAAAATGTTTTTTAACTGAGTTTTTTAAATCTTTTTTTATTGAGAATATTGTTATATAATAATATATAGTTAAGTTGTAATTTATATATATTTATATAAAACAGTTTTCTATGTTTGAAATTTAACTCAAGTGCACAAAAAAGCGCTGGCCGGGCATCGATTATTTGTCTGGCGTGCGCAATTTAAATAAATATTTGTTTTTTGTACTTTTTTAATTGGAATTTGATGAAGAAAAAATCTTTGTTGCAATTTAAAAAAACGCTTGAAAATTATTGGCAAGCACTAAAAAAAGCTTTAAAAAAAAGCGTTGACCGAAGTATTGCGCTCTAGCAGCTCTCCTGCAGCCGTGCAGGAGAGCTGCTAGAGCGCAAAATTGCTCGCAAGACAGAATATATATATAAAGACTGATATATATATATATATATATATATATATATATATATATATATATATATATATATATATATATATATATATATATATATATATATATATATATATATATATATATATATATGATATATGTATATATACATATATATTTATATAAAAAAACATAGTTTATACACACACTTATGTTATATGTGTGTGTGTATAAACTATGTTTTTTTATATAAATAAAATTTGGGAATGTCTTGTTATCTCGAAATTGCATTTTAATTTTCTTTCTTATTTAATATTTTAGTTTTTTAGATATGTTATCAGAAATACTTAAGTAAATTGCACAATTATTTATATATTAGTATTTATAGTTAAATATGTAATTAAGCAAAATGTTAAAAATATGAAATATTTTTAACAATTTCTTAAAATATTTTTAAATCTGCTACATAAAATAAATAAATGTTTTCTAGATCTGATAGCAATATATGTGGGATCACACTCTCTATTTTGTGAAACAATTCGATTAAATATTTCAATTTTAAAGGTGTCATTTGCTTGTCAATGTTTTTTATTATATAGACTTTAGAAGCCTATTCATCAAGTACCAGTGGTAAAGCTACATGTATCATTTGACTAGTCTATATTCCATAAGTTAGGCAGAGGTGGTTTTTTTGTTTTTTTATTTTGTATTTAATAATGCATTATCAACATCATGTAGCAATGATTGAGTTATATACTTGCAAAATATTTGTAAATAACCAATCAAGTAATTTTATATTATAAACTTTTTATATGTTGTGGTCTTAAGTGGTACAACTTCTTTTTTAAATCAATATAAATTACAATTTGAAGATGTTCTTTTCCTTCTTTACTTTTGTAGTTTGTAGTCTTCAATGGCATTGACATCTGGTAGAAAAGCTAAGGTTGTATCTTTTCAAAATGATTATAAATGACTTATTATCAGAAGATATTTTTTTAAATTATTGTTCATCTTATTATGTAATCTTTAATAGTATCAGCTTTTAGTACAGTGGTAAAGTTACTTGTCTCTCAATACGAGTTTATATTCCATAAATCTGTAAGGTGTCATTTTTTTTTTTTTAATGTGAGTTATGCTATTTTTGGAAAAGTAATATATTTTTTTTGTATAAAATGCTTATCTATTTTATTTTTTTAGTCTTCAATGGCGATGATAGCAATTGTAAGGTTGTATCTTTTCAAAATGATTATAAATGACCTGTGTCATTATAAATGACCTGTACTTAAAGTATTAAAATATATTTTTTTAAATTTTTGTATATTTTAATTTTTTAAATATTTAGTGGAAACAGCATTTAGTACCAATGGTAAAGTTACATGTATGTTTTCAATACGAGTTTATATTTCTTAAATTTTTAAGGTGTCATTCTTTTTGTTTTATATTCTGTAGTGGCATTGACACTAAGTAGCTACGGTAATGTGATATCTTTTCAAAATAATTTTAAATGAATAAATGAGGTGTTTAGTCAATATTTTACCTTTTTTTTTGGTGGCGACAAAAATAAAGTTACATGTATCAATACCAGTTTATATTTCATAAATTTTAAAGGTGCCATTTGTTTATCTTTTTTATTTTATATTCTTTAGCAGCATTGACAAGACACTTAGTAGCAATGGTAATGTTATATCTTTTCAAAATAATTTTAAAGTTAATATATTATACCCTTTTTTTGTGTGTATTTTAGTGGCGACATTATCCATTACCAATGATATTGTTACATATCTTTTTTGTCTTTCAAAATGATATTAAATGATAGTTTTTAGATGTCTTTTATATATATATATATATATATATATATATATATATATATATATATATATATATATATATATATATATATATATATATATATATATATATATATATATATATTACTTACATATAAAAGATTCAGGAATTCTTTTTTCCAGATAATCCCGGAATTTCGGATATTTTTTCTGACCTTTTAGTTTTTCCCGATATTTAAGAAGTTTTTCTTACATACAAGTTTAAGTATATATTTGTGTAATTTATTTGATCTTTAGGCTTTTTTAGTCATCGCTCATACAAAAAATTAGGAACGGCTTCCAAAATTTTTTAGTGGTGACAACTTTAGATACAGTTTTATTAGGTAATGTATCTTTTCAATACAAATATATATTCCATAAAATTTAAATGTGTCATTTACCTGAGCGGGATCAATGGTAAGATTATCTTTTTTTAAAATGAATAAAATAGAGAATCAAATGATTGCATGTTATTCTTTTCTTTACTTTTTTACTTTATTAGACCTCAGGAGTTCATTCAAAGGTAAAACATTTTTCAAAGCAGTCGAAATTTATATTATAAGCATATGAACTGTTTGAAAAATTTGAAAAAAATAAACTGATGCAAAAAGTGAAATAAGACACAATAAATGCTTATCTTTCTTAAGTATTCCACAGATTTTAATTTATAATCTATGTAATGGTTATGTGATTTATTTTGTGTTTTAGGTATATGTTTTTTGACTATAATCTAAGAAATTATAAAGTAATTATAATAAAGTAAGAAAAAAGAGGGAGCAGAGAGTCTTGGCTCTCTACGACCCTATATATATATATATATATATATATATATATATATATATATATATATATATATATATATATATATATATATATATATATATATATATATATATATATATATATATATATATATATATATATATATATATATATATATATATATATATATATATATATAAATTTTTATTTAACTTTTTTATGTAATATTTAATGCAATAATTGAAGTCAAAAGTCATTAATAATTTGTAAATATATTTGTCATTAATTTTTTCTTGTAGATTTTTTTTATCGTTTAAGAAATGCATTTTTAGAATAAGAGTTCATTGTAAAGTAAGTTTTGGGTTTTCTACAGAAATTTCCGGCAGCAGATTTTCCAGAAATTTTCCGTTATTTTACAGAAAAATCAGTCACATGTTAATGGAAATATCCGTTTAAATACGGAAATATCTGTTATTACGATGATAGATATTTTCCGTAATTTATACGGAAATTTCCTTCAACACTTGATTTTTCCGTAAAATAACGGAAACTTTCTGGAAAATCTGCTGCCGGAAATTTCCGTAAAAAACGGGATATTTTTTTAACAGTGTAGCTCTGGTAGCTTTTAAGGAATATTTATAGTATAAACACTCCTTAAAAGTTACCAGAGCTATAAGAATCTGTTTTTTCAGTATCTATTACTTATGAAAAGATCTTTTTTTATTCACTTTTTGCATACAGAAGTTGATTAACGACGTTTGTTTACAATTCGCTTTTGGTCTTTTAAAACCAGTTTTGAAATAGTCACTGATCCTTACATTCCAAAGTAACTTAAAACAGATTTCACCCTTTCACCAATATATAATTTTATGTTGGTATTCTTGATCATCAAGTTTAGCGCCGTGAAAAGATATTGCCCAAACTGCTTTCTTTATAGCATACAAACTATATTGTATGTATATTGTTTCTAATTGGTAAACCATTATAGTTTTGGAGAGAGTTAATTACTGATTCTGTAAGTTTACTTTTTTAATGCTGTCTTTTTATTTAAATAAACAAGATTTCTGAGGCGAGTACCAAGACGTTTTTACACATGACTGATTCCTGAACAAATCAAAATTTTTTTTCAAAATGAATTTTATTTTTTTACCTTAAACATATTTTAATAGATTGTTTGTAGTTCACACTTAGAAAAGTAATGCTTTCTCTTTAAGCAATCTAATTGTTTGTCTTGCAGAACATATATTTTATTCATAACTTTTTCAGAAAAGGAAACTTACCATAGATTTCATTTCTGTAACTTATTTTTTACTAAAATGATTGTAAACTGAATAATTTATAGGGTTATAACGCATTAGAATGGTTGGGGATTTTAAATCATGCAGCAATTCTGTTTTTTCTTGAACGTGTTTAGTTTTAAAGAAAAAACAGATGTCGGGCAATAGTTGTTTACACCATTTCCCCCCCCCCCCCCTCTTTTAAATCTCGTCGTTATTTTGGTAACTTTAAGTTAATCTGAGAAGATTCTCTGTCTGATTAACTTAAAGTTACAACAATAAATGCGCCTGATTTATTTTTAGTTTACCATGATTTCTCACACAATTTGCCAAGTAAGTTTGAAATTGCTTTTTTTTTTGTCATACATCTATTCCAAAGAAATGTATAAAAACACTGAGTTTTATTGCATTAAAAAGTGCCGTGCAAGTGACAACTCAATTCAATCTCCAAAACCTTCTAAAAATTAAAAAAGATTAAAGAGTAAAAGCGGGTCAAATAAGTTTTTATTTATCACGGTGAAAAGATTTCAATTTTTTTTTTTTCAAGTTGTAAAGACTTTTGAATTGTATTTAAATATAAAAATCAAATTTATTTTCAAAAAAGTTTTTCAAGAAACTTGGTTTATTTAAAAAAAAAAAAAATTTTTTAATTATTTTTTATATTTAGGTGCCCATTAAATCTTTCGGTCTTATCACAGAAAAGCATTTGAAAGAACGCTTCTTTCCTTATCGATGCTATATAACTTACCCCGAGGTGGCGTTGAATAACGAATCTCTATTTCTGAGGCTAGCGTACTAACCACTGCACTTCGACTCCTCCTTTTTCATTCTATTCTACGGCTGCATATTTCAATATACACTCCTGTTTGGGAGGAATGAAATGTGCAAATAAATGGGTTATCAAAAAAATACCTAATTTAAAAAATACAACCATTTATGTTAATTAAAAATCAACCAATAATAAAATTTGAAAAAAAAATAAAAAAATAATTTTATTTATGTGATGATGTTAAATCTTTAAGAGGCTTTAGAGGTTAAGTTGAGTTGTCACTTGCGCGGCACTTTTTAATGCAATAAAACTCAGTGTTTTTATACATTTCTTTGGAATAGATGTATGACAAAGCCAAACCTTGCATTTGGAATTTTCGGTTTGATATTATTCACTTTTTTGACTTGCTTAAACTTTTCTAAAAACATCAGGACACTTTTATACTTGACTTAGTTTGCTACAGCTGTTGTTGTTGGAGTTATCGTTGTTGAAAAATTTATCTGCTGCTCATCATCAAGGTCAAATTTACGTCAAGATTACGTTGTTTCCTAGCCTGATTTGCTTTATTTTTATTGTCACTCGATTTTCATCTTGCTGAGCGAAAACAAACCAGTCTTTTGAAACCCAGAGTGACTATTTGCGTGCATGTAAAAACTTCAACAGAGGTTTAAATGCTGAAACTTGAACAGAATGTTTTTCTTGCAATTTACTAAAACATCTTTTTGACAAACTGCTGAACTTTGTCTTAGCACAAAACTCTTTAAGTAATATAATATTATGTCAAATTTTGAACCCCCCCCCCATCCTCCTATACAAAGAAACTACGCAACGAACTTAACCTAACTTTTCGTTATTAAAGCAATAAAACTAAAAAAAAAAAAATTGCTCACGTCAACTTTAATTGACCTCCCCCCTCCCCCGCATTAACAATTGTCAAAAAAACCCTTCAAAGAGCACAGATTACCAAACTTTTATGGGTTTAATATAAAATATACTTTTCACGACTAAATACAATTAAAAGCTGGTGCCACATCATTTTATAACTCTGTGTTGTGATATTATAAAGCTGTGTTGTGATATTATAACTCTGTGTTGTGATATTATAACTCTTTGTTGTGATATTATATAGCGTTGATTTGTTTTTTATAGCATTATTTGTTTGTTTTGTATCTAACAAAAACAAGAATGTCTTTCATGGTTGAAGATTATCCAAATTTAATAGTTACCCATTTTTGGACCATAATTTTTCGTGTAAATATTTATTTATAAAATTTATAATTAATTCATGACCATTCTTATACGACAAAAAATTGTCTAAAAAAACCACTACCAAATTTAAATTAGGAAAACTCTCTGTAAAAAATTTTTAAAAAATTTAATTTTAGAGTAAAGATTTAAATAGATTTTTTAAAACTACTTACATTTAATACAAAAATTTGCTGCAAGAGCGGGTCCGACTATGTTTACAATGCGTTTGTGCACTTTACCTAAAAGAAAAAGGGCACTGAGATTTATTGAGATAAAGAATAGATTCCTAAAGAGGAAAGTGGCGAGCACGATAAAGAGATGCAACCCTATCAGATGCTTATGTTGCCATGGATTTGATTTGTGGTTTCCAGGAATATCGGAAATAATTTTTTTATCTTAAAGATAAACGTACCGATGAGCCCGCAGCCGTAGGAGGGCCCAGACTTATTAGGGGCCAAATTTTTCAAATACATTTAATAACATTTTTACTTTTATTGTATATCTAAGAATTAGAAATTCTTAGCTATACAATATGTAACATACTTGTTTCAATTAACTGAAATTAAAATTGTATTTAAAAATAACGCTTTTTGTTTTCATATATAATTTTTTTTTGTTTTGAGGGGGAGGGGAGAGAGAAATAGTTTAGGATTAAAATTTCAAGGGAAGGCCTATTTTTTGTCGCCAAGCCACTGCTTAAAGGCCAAACGAAGATGTACGTTGCCGTTCATAATTTTAGGAAGATCTTGATTGTTGTGATAACTGTTAGTTTTATTTGAGTTAAAAATTATCAGCCACGGAAAGGCAGATGGAACTTTTTTATAAAATTAATTATAGATTGGTGCAGGTTAAATATTGTTTCAAAAACGCACTAGAAGAAATAGAACGTGACTATTTATACAAATAAAGACTTTCAAAAGCTTATGTCCTATTTAAGTAACGAAAAATGACAGTACCCCTGAAGTAAAATTGAGGCGGTTTTGCTCTTTTTTTATACTGCCAGTATTCCTGGCTTTAATATTTGAATTAGTTTTAGCAATATAAGTAATTCTAAAACCAGCGGAACTATCAGTAAAAAAAGTTATAATATCCGCATCAATTTTAGTGCAAAAGTACCGACATTTTTATATACTTAAATTATTACTTAAAGTTATTATCAAATATATCAATTTTAAAATTATTATTAAGTTTATTATCTTTGGACGAAGTTGTCAACTGTTCTAAACTTATTTAATGCTCTGGCATTTTTACATTTGCAAAAAACCGATGTGTTCTGCCTACATGACTATTAGCATTTTAATATATATAAATAAATATAAGACACTTTCAAATTTTTATTTTTTAAGTAAAATTTAATTTTTTTTTAAATAATTAATATATAAAAAAGTTTAATCGAAATAAAACTTAATGTCTGATTTACTATTAAGCAAAAGTTATATGAATTTAACTTTCGAACAAAAAAACTCCAAAAAAAAAATTCTGCAAAGTTTCGAATTTTTTTGTTTCGTTGTCAACGAAAATCTTAAAAAAAAATGGCGAATACTTTAAACTTCAAAAATAATTGATATTAGCATAAATGTGATTGTGTGCAGAATACAATTTTTTTTTTAAATATAAAATTTAATTTCATCAACTTTCAATAAACCTGGAAACTCATGAGATTATCGTAAACATCATATATAATAACGAAGGTTGAATATAATAAAGAAATATTGCAGTAAAAAAAAAAAAAATACTGTCAAAAAATATTTATTATTAATTTAATAAGAAAAATGGTAATTACCGTAAAAGTAAATTTAATCTAATTATAGTATTTTATATAATTAACACTTTTTGATATTAATTATATTTTAATATTTATAGTAACAAAAGAAAAAATAAATTAATATTATAATCAAAATGATCAAAATTCATGATATAATTATGAAAAAATAAAAAAAAAAGTTTATAAAAAAAAGTTATATATTTAAACAAAGATTAATATCAATTATTATTATTTATAGTTTAATGTTATTATTAATATTAAAAATGTTAAAAAAATAATAATTATGAAAAACTATGTACCACAAATATAATTATATATTTAATAGTTTATGTAATTACTATTTTAATTAATATATTTTAAAAAGAACTAATTATAAATATGAATAATATAATAATATAATATTGAACTTTTTTATTTAAATCCAATATATTTAAATTATTTCGTATATTTAAAGCAAATATATTTATAAAAAAATAAATTAAATAATTTAATTTTTTATTATTTTTATTATTTAAAAATAAATTAAATATTTGATTTAATATTTTATAATTATTGTTTTTATTTTATATATTTAAAATATTAAACATTTTTCCGCGTTATAAAGTTAATTCATCGAGGTTACGAAAATATTTTCCACGGTACTTGATCTGAAACTTCTTGATGTTCGAACAACGAATCCATTCACAAATGTCTTTAAAGAAATCAATGTCGGCGTGAAGTTCAAGATTTAATTCTTCACAAAGATTAATCCAAGGAAGAAAATTTTCTTCAAAATCTTTTTTTGTTATTAAATAATTTAAGATCCATATCCACAACACTTCAATCTTATCTTTCGGTTTCCATCCCTCGAAATTAATTGGACGATAAAAGCTGACATTGCGAACATTAGTTGAACATCGAATTATAAGATTTTTTTCTTCATCACTTAAAATATTTTTATTAACATTTAACCACGATAACTTTCTTCCAGATTTTATGTAATAATTTACGAAATAATTATCGCAAGAAGTTGCGTAAGAAGTTTTTCCATCGTCAATCGAAATCGTCCAACCAAAACCAAAATTTCGTTCATCAACAATTAATTTTATTTCATCAGTGAATGACGATTGACTTTCGTAAAAACATTCGTAGAAAAAATTGTAACCATTAAATACTTCAATACTTTTAGATAGACGATCTAAAGAAAAATTAAATGTGAAATATAACAATAAACAAATAAATAAGAAACAAAAAATAAAATAATAATCAAAATTGTGATATTATACATATAATATTATTATTTTTCTATATACAAATATAATTAATACACTATAATTAAATAAAAAATTGAATACATTTTCATATTATTAATAAATATATTATATTTATATTATAATATAATAAACATAATTACATTAATAATAAATGAAATTATATATAAAACTTAATAAAACTTTTAAACAAAATAACTTCTTAATAAAAATTATAAAAAATATACTAATTTTATTATTTTGAACATAATTTTTAAATTAATAAATTTTATTATAAATGTTGTGTTTATAATTTTTAATAACCAATAACATACATATATAAAATATATTTTTTGCTTAAAATAACATAAAACAGATTAAAAATATGTTTAACTTAGAAAAAAATGCTTTATTTATTCATATTGTCATTCGAAATAAATATCATCATTTTTTTATATAAGAAGATAAAAAGGAAAACCTGTTTTATTTATATGCAAATTTGTAAAGAACTCAATGTATTTATAAACCGAATTTCTACAGAACTTGTTCAAATTTAAAATTTACATCGAAAATCTCCTTCGACAATCTTTTTTAAAATAAGTTAATTAAATAAATATGAAAAAACGTCAAAGAGTGAGGGTTCAAATATTTGGTGATTCGATTTCGACGTCGATTTGAAACTTTGAAGAAAATCAATAAAAATTTGCAACTTTTATACAACTTATAAATTAAATTTTGATGCAATTAGCTCTTCTTGAATAAGGCTACAAAATATATATTATTAAAACATAAAAAAAAGCAACTAATGCAGCTAAGAAGAACCAATAATCTATTCAATCAAATTTAAATTTTTATACAAATTATATCGAATGCATGTTTTTTGGATAGACAAATAAAATTTTGTTTTAAAATTTTGTAATTCATGTAACAGTCATTTTAAAGAAAAGTTTTACTTTCACTATCATTTTATAAAATTAATATTTCTCTTTACGAGTGACCAAATGAACACAAGTTCTAATGAGAAAATTTAACTTACGGTGAGAACATAAAAAAAACTACTAATGGCAATAGTGTCACAGGAGTATTAAAACTTGGAAGAACGGTCGATTTACAAATTATTGAACTATATTGTGGGAATATTTTACATGTTTTTTAAATCGAATGAAACGAATAAAATTAAATTCGCTTGAAATTACAGTCTTAGAATAGAATCAGCTTATATCTTGAAATCAAATTATTATCAAAAATATTAAATTTAAATATTATCTTTTCTTGTATTTTTTTTGTTTAAAAAAATTCACTGAATATATTAACAAAATAAACAAAAATGAAAAAAAAAAAAAATTGTTTTCATAATTATATTCAAGAGGTCATTGTCGTCGTATCGCCTTAAAACAATTCGACTTTAGTTCCAAAACATAAACTTTTTAAATGAAAAGAAAAAATTGATTATAAAACTGAAGTATACTTACAAAATTTAAAAAGTTTTGTTACCAGTGTGAATTTTAATAAACAATGAGAACAAAATGATACCGTAAAGCATTTTAAGAAAATAAATTGAAAAGTGAGTTTTATAAATTTAAAACTCGATCATCGAACTTCAAAAATTCTTTTAATAAATTCGAGAAAAACAGTAAATATTGAAATCAAACGTTTCGCTTATAATATGATTTTGTAACCATCGCAACCGATTTCCAAATGCACGATAGCGGTAGCAGGTTCTTAAAACGAAAAGATTAAAACCGAAAAAACCTTATTATAATTTTACATACAACCTACTTTTTAAAATTTTTATATAATTTTTGTTCCTACAACCCCGGATCATTGTAACTAAAATGGAAAACACTAAGCCATCAAAAAAAAAAAAAAATTATATTCAACTGTATTTTTTTTATCAACTGCTTTTTAAAAGATATGGTCGTTCCACTAAAAAAAAAAAAAAAAATTAAAAGAGTGCCAATTTAAATGTAAATGTTTTTGATAAGATTGAACTCTTAACAAAAACTTGATACACTTTTAATTATATTGGCAAATATAAAATTATTTAACTGTTAAAAAAATTATTACACTAAATTGCTGAATAATAATTTTTATTTTATTTAATTAATTATATTTTATATATCAATTACTTTGATATATTATTCACTTTTATTGTAGAACTTTTATTTGTTGTAATAACTCTTAAAATGCCTGCATTCTATTACAAAAAGATAATATATAACTGTTTTCATATGCAGTAAACAACGTTCGTCTAAAGAATTTTTTCATGCTGCAATAAACGACACTTGTTAAAGTGTATGTTCTTGTAAACATGCAAACGTTTGTTAAAAAAAAAACAGAAAGAAAAACGAACGTCACTTTTCTTTAATTTCGCTTATGCAAACGTTGGCGTTTGTTTAAAATTAATAAAAACAAACGTATTACTTTAGCGTTTTTTTTTTCCAAATATATATGCGATTGATAGTTTTTTATTTAATATAAAAACACATATTTATAATAAATATAATATTTTTAAAATTACATTTTACAGTGCAGACTTCAAATTTGAATGAATTTGATGCTGTTTTGACTACTGTTGAACTGCTATTTGATAAAGACAGACCTAAATTTTAGTTCAAATATTATACTAATTTAATTTATCTTAAACAAAGTGAAGAAAGAATATTTATGCAATTGTTTTGCAAGAAACGATGTATACCACAAGGTGACTCGAAACCTCAACACCCAACACAAGGACATCTTGACCTTGATAAACAATTGATATAACTGACAAACAATTTAGTAAAAAATAAAAGAAATCAAAGATTATTAAAATGTAAACTGCAATATTTTTATAAGAGAAATTTTAATCAAAAATTCATATATTTATATGCCCTATATAAAAATATAAAAAATATTAACGTTAGTCTTGCTCTAAACTAAGCAGTTTTTAGTCATTTTAAGGTTCATTTTTTTGTTTCAAATATGTCATTTGAGGGCAAGGAATGAGTGCTTCAATGGCGTTCAAATTTTTTACGAGTTAGTTTAATCATATTTGCTTCAAATATAGATGGTTTGGTTTTTCAAATAACAAAACTTTTTAATGTCAAACAAGAGTTGTGCATTTAAATTTAAATGAATCTTTTTTTGTTAAAAGGGCGTAAGTCACAAAATACATTTTTTTTAAAAAATAAAAAAACTTAATATCAAAAAAATTTCTTATTAAAAAGATATTTTTGAAAATTAATTTGAAAGTAAAAGTTACTGTTTTATAAAATTGGTAGAGTTGAATAAAGTTTAGTATTTTATTTTTAAACCAGTCTTTAGAATTATTTTTAAATAAAAATATTTTAAACCATTCTTTCAGGTAGATTGACATGTGTTAAAATGCGTTAAAATTGAATTTAACATCTAAACTTTTTTTAAGTTTTCCATCAAATTATTATTTTTTAATCAGAAGTTTACTAGTAGCATTTATAAAGAAAATTTTAATATTCATTTTAATGAAGTATAAAAAAAAAGCGCAAAAACATGTTGCAATCTCCCCCATACATGACAGAAACCTATTTAGGATGCAAAAAATATTATCTCCACTGACACACACTTAACATGCATTAATCTCAAATTATACTCTTGCATTGATAATACATGAGAGGGAAAGTTTTTTAAGTTTTGCATAACTGTCGTACACACCCCATATAAGATCTCGCACCGTACTTTTTCTTTCTTTTAGAAAAAACAATTAGATCGTGATGATCTGAAATCATCACGATCTAATTGTTTTTGAATTTGAATTAGATCGTGAAAAAATAAAGTTTCTAAATATTTCTTTCTAAATGTAATTAAAGTAATTCCTAATTTGAAATAACTTTTGATTCTTAAGAGCTTTTATAGGGTAGGTACATCGTAATATTTTTTTACTTTGTATGAGAGTGAAGAAAATTTAACTTACTTGTTGAAGACGTTTTAAAAGGAATTTTAAGCAAATAAAGAAAATAAACTTTTTATTAAAAACCATATGAAAGTGATTTCAAAATTTTTATTAAATGCTTATATAGATTATTTCAAAAACAAAACATTGAAAAAGACGCTGCAGTCTTTTTTTATAATATTTTATTTATGGCAAAAAAAACAAACATACTTTGTTTAAGAAAAACTTATTTTTGTTTTACTTTATACTCAATATATAACTTTGATTTTTTCAAATATATATATATATATATATATATATATATATATATATATATATATATATATATATATATATATATATATATATATATATATATATATATATATATATATATATATATATATATATATATATAACAACACTTAACCAAAGTTTTGATAATTTATTTGTCTAGATCATGTATAAAATTTTTTCATTGCACACTGTCCTCGTTATTTAAGCTAATAAATCAAGACGTTATTTATAAAAATTATTAGCTTAAAATATAGAATTAAGTTTCTGCTTCGTTAAAAGCCTCATTTTCTGTCTCTATAGCCCCAATCACATGATTGGCCATGTCTAAGCTACAACAATGTATGCCAAGAATATAAAGACATGACTTTTTTAAACTTATCTTATCAAGTAAAAATGCTAATAATGGGTTTATTTATGACATTATTAAATCAAAGCTTACAAAAACTAACCTGGATTGCAGCTGTATCTAATTTCTCAGCTGAGAAATTTAGGAGAATAGAAAATTAATATATAAGTTAAAGTCTTTTCCACATCCTTTATCTTCCTTTTGTTTCAAGTTCAGGATTTGCTTGGTCAAATTATAAAGAAGCATGATTTTCAGAACTCTTCATATCAGTAAACATTCATTGCCATTAAACATGCATGGTTTACTGCCCCAGGCTTGTGAATGTTGAGAAGCTTGAATGTTCGTTCCAAAAAAATGAGAGCTAGCTCATTAAGTTCCTGGTAGTCTCTTGTTCCTGGTAATATTGGTACTTGTTTTTATTAATAAATATTTCACATTAATTACATTAAAACTATAACATTTTAATGGCTAGAAATATAAATCTGAAAATATTTGAAAACTGCTTCATTAACAAGTGTCATTAAAAGTTTTCTTGCCTCATCTGCTTGTTCTTTAAACTAAGACTGACAAATCTGTTGCGAATTGGTATGATTGCTGACTGTGTCATCATTAACATCAAGATCATTCCACTTCTCTTTCAAGCCTTTAAAATTTACATCGCTAGGTCCAATGGTATCTGCTGACCCATAATGTTCCAAGATTGTTTCTAAAACTTAATCTAATAAAACTGAAATCATTACTGAAATAGTTTGTTGTAATTAACTCACAGAGCTTTTCTTTTAAATTATTAAAAAAATATTTATCTTTATATAGCGCCACGAATCATTCCAGTATGGCTAGCAGTAGTGTCAAAGAAAACTCCTAACATAATTAGTAATACCAAAATTGGTCAAAATCTCCTTGATTGCCTAAACCAATTTAGTCCTGTACCAGAAAGAACCCTTGGAGCACCAAGAAGGTGAGTAGTTCCTCCAGCTCTCAAAAGAATGCAAATCCTAGCAACTGCCACATAAACATTTATTTACAACATGTCCTGGAATTTAGATTTGATTAATAATGTAAGGAAAATGTCTTTTCATTGTAATTATTTAATATATTAATTATAAATAAATATATGCAATTAACTTGATTAACCTTCGATCAAAGTATATCTAAATTTTTATCTTATTAGGTTTGATCTTGAATTTAATTAGAACTTTAATATTATCAGCATGTTTGTTGATGTTATTTTTCATTCGAAAAGCTTAAGTATAAGAAAGAGATCACCTCCAGCTGTGGTGACAAGCTTAATCAGTGTAACTGATATTTTATGGCTGTTATATTCATGCCTATAGCTAATCTTAGTCTCTTCAATAATTTTTTTTGTTGACGGCAATAGTCAATTTCTGCCTGTCAAAATTCCATATTTAACAGCGCCTGTTATTTTCTGAATTAGACGCCTGTCATTTTCTGAATTAGACTTTGTACTTGGTTTTGGAGAAAATATTCTTCTTCAGCTTAAGATATCTGTTAATATATTTTGCAATGTTTCTTTAAAAGAATTCCTATGTACAAGCAATTACTCTTCTCTTATTTGCATTTTAGAACTTTTAGACTGTAAAAAACCTTTCACATGTCTTTATTTAAAAAATTGCATTAAATACATTAAAAAAAATTATTTAACACTTTCAGTAAAAAGCAAAAACCGTCTTAAGTAAATTTATGTATTTTGATGTGATCTTCTGTATGTTTCTGAATGTAAAATACGCAAATCATACTTAGTAAATTTATTTTTTAATGTATGTAAAACCATCTGGTCTTCTGCTTATTTCCTCGCGTTGCTGAAATTACAATGATACTTTGTGATTTTATTATTTGTATACTTTAACGTTTCGTTTTACTTCAAATCTCAAGAAAAATGAAATCTTGTGAAAAGTTATAAATTTCGTAAAGTATTGGTTGGGTGTAACCATGGAGAAAAAATATATTTTGAAATAAATATATATTTTTTTGAAATCACTCATGATTATACATCTTTTGAGCTTTCATACATATTTTAAATGAAACATATTGTAAAACATGAACACCTCTATATCAAGAATTGTGCAAAAAATTTATGCATTTTTAAATTAAGTTTTGTTACCTGAAGTAAAATCTTTCGATAAACTCTAAATTTAAAAAAATATAGCTCAAAATACCTGTAAAAAATTTAACCTAGAAATGACTTAAACTACATCACCTTCAGCATTTATAAATAAAGCAGTAGCAAGGTGGAATTTTTTTTTTTTTAAATCAAAATTTTATTTTGAAATCACTCATCCTAACACATTTATTTAGGTTGAAATCATTATTCTAAAAAAATTTTGTAAAATATGAACAGCCCTAACATATATAAAGAGACTTGCACAAACAATTTATACTTTTTAAAATTAGGTTTCGTTTCCTTAGAGATATTTGTCAATCAACTCAAAATAAGAAAATATTGAGCTCAAAACACCTAAGAAAAAACCTAAAAATGACTATAACCACATTGCAACCTTCAGCATTTATAAATCAAACAACGGTCATATATAAATATATTTACTTCGATCAAGACTGATATATATACTTATATATATATATATATATATATATATATATATATATATATATATATATATATATATATATATATAATATATATATATATATATATATATATATATAAATATATATATATATATATATATATATATATATATATATATATATATATATATATATATATATATATATATATATATATATATAACTGTCGTATAATTGTATTCTTATATAACACTGGACACTGTGTGTACACCAGGGTATCTTTTTGATGCAGTATCTCAATGTGTTATCCCAAAAAGACATTTCTCAGGGTATCCCATCAGGACAATAATTTAATACACTACAACTTAATAAAAAATATTTAAAATTTTTTTAAAAACTTGCCAAATGTTGTTAAACATACCAAATATAAAAATGCAAAGTACATCATTTAGAAAAAAAAAGATATAAATCATTTGTTTTGTTTTTTATAAATCAAGTCAAATGATAAAATTATAAAACTGAAAAAAAACTTTAAAAAAAAATTTAAATAAACAATTCTTTATTAATATTTATTAAAAAAGATTTAATTAAATTAAATTTTTTTTTTATTTTATCAAAAATAAAGTAAAAATAACTATATATTTTATACTTTATTGAACACCTGTATGGTTATTGAAAATAACTCACTATAATGCCACCAGGATTTTGAACTTACCCAAAATAGAATACAAAAAGATAGATTTTTCATTGGACTTTATTGAAGGATTCTTGAATAGATTCATTATAAATTGAATAAACTTTTTATAGGGACTTTTTGAAGGATTCAGATTAACAAGAAACTTTAATAAACTATTTTGACTAGCATTAGATAATCCACAAATCATTGATAAACAACTCTTCAGCTTTTCATTGGTCATAATTTCAACACTACTTAAACAATTATAAGCATATACAGATGCACAAAATTCCATTATTGTCAAATGTGCAAACTGATAATAACATCCCAGATTCGTTTCAATCCTTTCTATAAATCCAAAAAAATATTCATTTTTATCAAAGTCACCAATAAAAGTTTGAAGCTCTTCTTTTGAAAAAATTATTTTATTTACAAGAAACAATTCATATGCAATTTTACAAATATTTAAAATATATGTTTTATTAGAATCGTTTTCCATTATCTGATAAATCATTTCATTGTTTTTAATGATGTGTTTTTGTAAAAAGTATAAAAAAATGTTTGCATACAAATCTGTCATTGTTAAGAAAGATATTGTACTTATTTCTTTTGAATCACTGATAATTTTACACATAGAAGATAAATAAAAAGGAACAGATGCCATAGCTTTTGCAATTGGAGATTCCATTAAAGTTGCATTTACAATTCCTTTTTTTTCTTCCTTAACATGATTTTCTACATAATTCGCTATTCCATTTTTGTTAAACCCCATTATTTGAATGGTTAACTTATCACTATGATCTGTATAAATACTTTGGTATTGATCAATTGCATAAACTCTACCAGCAACTAAATGTTTATAGTTTTGAATTTCTGCTAAAACATTAACAATTGGATATTTACATTTTAAATTTGGATTTGATAACTCATTGAAATATTTAAACTCATCTAACCCATCAATTAGAAACAGTGCAGTGGTAATACTAATATTTAAGTTACTTATAATATCTTTGTAGAAAACGCTTAGTAAATCATTTATACTAAAAATATTTTCATATTGATTAATCCTCCTGCATTCTAAATAAAAAACAAGTTCAACATTTTTCCAAATTAAATCATTTGACCAATCAAGCAAACATTTTCTAAGCAACCATGTTTTCCCAATACCAGCAATTCCAGATACTAATATTACCGATTTTTCGTTCATAAATAGTTCACTATATGGAATTGGTGTATAATGCATTTGCTTTTCAAGAAATTCTTTTCGTTCAACACTAAAAACAGCATCCATTTGTGGCTTCGCTGCATCAACAATACATAGATCAACAAATTTATTCATTAGATCAACATTTGCAGGTGCTTTTAATAGTGGTTGAAGTTCACTAATTTTCCCATAATATTTAAGATAATATTGTTTTAGTTCAGCAGACATTCTTGACAAATCTAAATAAAACATAACAATGTTTAGTAAAGCTATCATTATGATTTTACTGATATTCATGCTCATGACAATGACATTCATTATTACTATAACTTTATATAAACATAAAATAGCAATAAATATGTACTTGACATAAAATTTTATAGAAAAATTAAGGAATCTAAAAAATTCTTGTTAATTTGATTTTTATTGATTTAAGAATTAAGTTACGTAGGAATAAATTTATCATTTATAACAAACTTTTTTATTTGAAAAAGTTTTTGCTTAAAGTTATTACTTCAAACAAAATCATCAACTGATTTTCAAAAACTTTAAAAAAAAACTATGACACTTTCGTTAAAATTATTAATAAAGAAAAAATATTTTTATTTGAAATTTATTAAAGGCTAAAAGTTAAACAACTTGACAAAGTCAACAAACTTTTTTTTTTCTTAAAGTCTTTTCAAAACAATAACATCAAAGAATATTGTAAAAGTAAAGTACTAAAATTTTTTAACATAAAAAGTAAGTAAGTAAAATTATTTTTATTAACTTGAATTTTAATAATAGTAATTAAAATTAAAGTGAAAAACATATAGAAGTTTTGAAGAAAGTTTCATATGAAGATGATTCTCTTTATAAAACCTGCAGAGATGAAAAAAAGTTGCATACCTAAAGGTTGGGGCAATTGAGAAGCCTCATGAAGTTGTAAGCTTTCTCAAAAAAAGGAACAAAAAAAAAAAGCTAAAGGATACTAATGTTCTTTGTTTATGAAAACAAAATACCATTCGATTTGTCTAAAGCTGTTTGTGATGTGCTCTCATTTCTAGTTTCTGCAGCAACTAATAAACTATGCATTAATGACAACAGCAGCAAAGTTCGACTTTATTAAGATTTATTACTTGAGTTAGGAAAATGAATAAAGGGTTTGTTTGTTTTCACATGCAATTGGATCATAGTCTAATAAGTGACATAATGAAAATAGTGAAAAATAGAAAATATGTAACCCTAATGGTTAGAACTCTGAATCCTCTGTTTGTAATGCAAAACCTTATTTCCAAAATTTATTGATCACACTCTTCTTGTTATTTAAATAAACAGGTTACTGTTAGAGATACTCACCATTCCTCATTATTAACTGCAATATGTGAAATCATTCTTTCTACTGTTGCTATAAAAATAGTTATTATTCACTATAACTCCTCGGCAGCTTAAAGTCTGGACAGCATTGTGAATGATTTTAAAGATTAAACTAACTTTAGAATATGTGGATTAATTTTATGCAAAGTTAATTATTGATAGCAGAAGGAGAGAGTCTGAAGGAGAAGAAGCTAAAGTATAGCTACAAATTTTTTAATAATTATAATTTTTAAGTTATTCTGTTTTTTTCAGAACTGAATAATAACAATATAAATGATAAGAAAAATTTAAAAGTATTAAATAACAAAAAAGTTTAAAACATAAATAATTTTGAAGACTTAATTATATACAATTAGTCGTTCTGGGATTAAAATAAACACATATACAACTGTTTGCCTACACCATAAATACATTCACTTGAAGTATTAATCCACATTCCACATAACTTGCTGTGATTTATTTAATTAACAAATGTCTGGTGTTGAAGGGTCTGGTGCTACCTCTAAAAATATTTTTTAGTGAGAAATTTTTTTATAACCCAGTATTATTTTATTAAATCGAAAAAATAAAGGGTATTGATATAACCTATACTTTTTAAACTAATAAAATAATACCTACCCAATAATATACCCTACACTGCTCTTTTTTATGTTTTCAGTTAAGCTTAATTTTGTATTAGACTTTACTTTTTTTAAGCACACTTTTCAGCAGGTTTACATGAAACTGTTAAAAATGAATATAAAAACTTAACCTTTTGTTTTGATATTTTTTCTAAAAATTGTCCTTTAGGGGTCCTTTTTTTTTTACTTGTAAACTTATTTTTTAAGTTGTAAACTAATGACTAATGACAATAACATTTGATAAAATAATGACTAATGACAATAAAATTTGATAAAATAATTAATAATGACAATAAAATTTGATAAAATAATGACTAATGACAATAAAATTTGATAAAATAATGACTAATGACAATAAAATTTGATAAAATAATGACTAATGACAATAAAATTTGATAAAATAATGACTAATGACAATAAAATTTGATAAAATAATGACTAACGACAATAAAATTTGATAAAATAATGACTAATGACAATAAAATTTGATAAAATAATGACTAATGACAATAAAATTTGATAAAATAATGACTAACGACAATAAAATTTGATAAAATAATGACTAACGACAATAAAATTTGATAAAATAATGACTAACGACAATAAAATTTGATAAAATAATGACTAACGACAATAAAATTTGATAAAATAATGACTAACGACAATAAAATTTGATAAAATAATGACTAACGACAATAAAATTTGATAAAATAATGACTAACGACAATAAAATTTGATAAAATAATGACTAACGACAATAAAATTTAATAAAATAATGACTAATGACAATAAAATATTGAGAAATTAGTCTCAATAATCTTAATCTGTTCCTTAATCTTAATTTGATGAACAATGCAAAATCAAAAACTTTTTTCTTCTAAAATAAAAAGGTATGAGGGAAAATACTTGTGTTGCTATAGTGATGGCCCAATGGATAAGGAGGAGATTAAATGACCTTTAGATCACTAGCAGTTTAATTCAAAGACTTGATAGTAATGACCTTTAGATCACTAGCAGTTTAATTCAAAGACTTGATAGTAAACCTCCTATACAGATTCAATGTTATTGAAATTTTACTAATCAAATGTTGTGAAAATGTTACAATCAAACAATTACAATGCCTGCTACATATAAAACTGACTGCAGAAATTATCAACATAAATTCACCATTTGAATACTATATTTATGAACATCATGTAAAATTATTGATCTCCTTTCTTTCGCAATAAAAATATGAACAAGTTTTAAGAAAATAAAAGGAAACTGTTAACAGACATGGCTTTAATGGTGGTGGTTTTGACAGACCTAACAAAGCCAAAGTTTTAAGATCTTTGGACATAATTAAAAAAAAAAAAATTGTTTTTAAACTGACCAGAATACCAGTCTACATTTCATTAAGAGACAAAAATATGTTAATACTCTTAATTTAGCAAGTTATTACTTTGTTAACTTTTGTTTGTTTTCGTTGCTGATTGCTGTTTTGAGATGAAACTTGATAGATCCTACACAGAGGAAATCAATTAGTTTGCTCTGTCCATGCTTCACTTAAAAATAGATGAACATGATGTATTCATAAAAAAAATTTCACTAGGAATGGAGGATTTCACTTGGATGAAAGTTTCACATAATCAGGTTTTATATCAAGGATCATGATAGGCAGAAGATCTTGCTTGCTGTTATATCAGTACAAACATCTGTAGTAATGCATAAAATTCTTAAAAAAAGACACAGAACAATTTGTTGTGTCCATACAATTGTAAAAAGAACTTACAAGAATATATTTAGATTGTAAAAATACAATATGAATGTTTTTCTATCGTGAAGAAAATATTTTGCTCTCATTTTTGATATGAAGAAAACTGCTACTATTATTTATAAATAAGCCCTTTTGAAGGAAACTCAGCAATTGGAACACAGAGGCAGAAATAGTTATAAACAACCTCCACTGGATCCAATTAAAATAAAAAAAAACTTGAATCCAATAATTAATTAAAATTTGCTTTTAAATTTTATTAAATATATATGGCACTCAAATATTATATATTATGGCACTCAAAAAATAATGCCCCATGAAGTTGAGGATCCCCTCATTTGGCAAAAGTTTTTAATTTTTAGAAAAAAAGGTAAAAAAAGAAAGAAGGATGCAGTTTTTAAATTTGTTTTCAATGGTTTTTATTTCATGTGAACATGCTGAATAAAAAGTGATAAAAAAAAAAAATTTAAAATTACTTTAATTATGAAACTCTAAATTCCATTTGACATAAAGTAGCTCCTAGATAGTGATCAGTTCAAGCAGATAATAAATTACCTTACATTCACAGATTGGAAATTCTTCTAAACTAAATGCAGAAATTACCGAAATGAAAATTCATTATAATTGTCAGAAATTGTAAACATCAATAAGAAAAAAAACTAGAATATAACCAACTTTAAAACTTTAAACTACAGGCAATCATAAAGATAGCAAGGATGCAACCTTGACGAGCAATGCTAGCCATTTTTATCAGGCTCTCTGAAACATCATTGGTGAATATATTGTGGCCTTGAGGATGGTGTTTCACCATCCTCAGGCCACAATATATTCACAATGGTGTTTCACCATCCTCAGGGCCACAGGACCATTTCGCTATAAATACATTTTGGTTCTCATGAAAAAACAATATTTAGCAACTACTACTCAGGTATTACAACAGCTTATTTCTATCCGGTAAATTAATTTTCAATTCATATATGATGTTTTTTTTTGTATTTACTTATTTGTTGCATTTTTAACTTCAGATTTATAGTGGTTTTATTTGCTATAGAAGAACAAATCATTTTGAATTTTTTAAAAATATCTACTCCACTCAACATTTAAAGTTCAATGTTACATATATCATTTTTAAGTAGCGTCTAGGCTTTTTTGATGCTTTTCTTATTCAAGTGGTTTTATAAGCTTTCAAAGAGAATCAATGTTGTTCTCTGTTTAATTTAATTTGTTTAAATAGAGTAGTTTTAATAAATGTTTGTTTGTTCTTGGTTTTTTACTTATTTGTTTTCAGATTCTTAAGAACTAGGCAACTTAGCAAAGCAAGATTTATTTTATTTTTAAGTGCAAATGGAAAGAGCTAAAGTGCTTTTTAGTCACTTCAAATCATTTGTTTCTTTTTTTAAATAGAAGGGTTAATAATAAAAATATTTAGACTGTTACTGATTTGTGTAAGTTTAATGTTTTGTTTTATTTTATATTAGATATATGTTTTTTATGTTTTTAACATGGAAAACTGACTGTAATTTTTGACAGATAAGTTTATATACATAAATGTGCCTATATTTCAGAATATTTTATATTTCTCTGAATCTATATAATAATTATCTCATAGAAAAATTTTAAAAAAAATGGAAAAAAGTTGAATATATATCCATACATACATATATATATATATATATATATATATATATATATATATATATATATATATATATATATATATATATATATATATATATATATATATATATATATATATATATATATATATATACTCTTGCATGGTAGTTAAAAAGAGTTTCCCATAAACTGTAGTTTTAAAGAGCGCGTTAATAAACCGGACCAGAAAAAGTTTAAAAACTTAAATTTTTTTTTTTTTTTTAAATGATAGACTGCCTGCCCAAACCAAACCCTCAGTCGATGTAGCAGCACTCCCTTGCGAATCAGGCTATTTGTCAGTCGTTGTAGCAGCACTCCCTTGCAAGTCAGGCTATTTGTCAGTCAATGTAGCAGCACTCCCTTGCGAGTCAGGCTATTTGTCAGTCGATGTAGCAGCACTCCCTTACGAGTCAGGCTATTTGTCAGTCGATGTAGCAGCACTCCGTTGCGAATCAGGCTATAAGATAGTTGATGTAGCAACATTTAAGCATGTTTTAAAAATGTTTTTAATAAAACAAAAACAAAAACACTATTAATTAAAAAAAATTTTCTAGTCGTTATTATTGCGGTTTTTTAAAAATTTTTTAAAAAACAATAAAATTTAATATACTTCCGCATTAATTTAATTGCTTTGACATTTCGACGACAATCAAATACAGCTTAAGAGACGAGGTAATTAAAATTGTAGTTGAAAGAGACTTTTTTTACATTAAAAGACTCTTTCGACTACACTATAAGGGTATATATATATATATATATATATATATATATATATATATATATATATATATATATATATATATATATATATATATATATATATTACTTAAGACTGACATTGCTTCATTTTTTATTCAAGATTCTGCATTTATTATTTTTGTGCATTAATATTGTCCCTGAAGGTAAAAATAACTTTGCATTGTAGCCTAAATACTTTGCTAAATTAAAATAATGTCAATAAATTTTGTCTTAAATTTTTCAGTTGTAAAAATATAAAACGTTCATTTATTCAGTTGTAACAGTAGTATAATCACTGGTAATATATTTAATGATAACAGATGTATAATATTAGGCTCGAAAAAGTTATTAGTGTAAATGGTTATAGGTGACTTGAAATTGTTGTCATATGAAAGAAATAGATCTAGGCATGATAAAATTAATTGTCGTTGAAATATAAGAAATTTTGCTTGATAAACAGAAAACTTACTTGCCAGAATTCAGTGTCAGGCGTTGTTGATGTCTATTATTCGATTTTACATTAGACACTTTAAAATAAAGCAAAGCATGAACTTTACTATATATAGTAACAAATAATAATAGTTTCAATTTTGAATGATTTTAATTTTTTTTTTTTTTTTTGTAATCTTAAACATAATTGTGTTTTTTTTTTGTTTTAGTTGTCATTGTCATCACTTGATTATTTTGCTTACTGTTGAAACATGGTTTTAATTTTGTAAATTTAATATGATGTGAAATTTACAATATTAATCATTTGTCAACAGTTAAAGAGAAGCTGGAACTTAATTAAGAAATGCTGGAAATTAACTTTTAATTAAGGTAAAAATAATTTTATTTATTGGTAGCATAATAAAACCAGTTACTGTTATTTATTGCATGACTTTTTTACTTTTTTTAAAGTGCTGTTTTTAAAAGACTTCCTCTCTCTCTCTTAGATGAGACTTAAATAAGAATTAGTATTGAGAATTGTAGAGAGAGAATTGATTAAACTCTCTAATTACTGAGCTCTGATTAAACTCTGTAAATACTGAGCTCTTGCGTATTTTTTAATACTGCGATTGATAATTTGCTATTTAAAGATATAATTCTTTAAATTGTCCCTTGGTTGTTCAAATATTGTAATAAATAAAATCTTTTAGTTTTAAGTGTTTTTTTTTTAGGGATCGTCTACATATTACCATGGTGGCCACAGTCCTGGAATGTCCTGGAAAATTACATTTTTTCGAAAAATGTCCTGGAACTTTTTTTTTCCTGAGTCAAGTTAAAAAATTACTAATAATATTGAAGTAATATTAAATTTTTTATGCGAAATTTTTTTTTTATATAAATGGTTTGAATTAAATTTTAAATAAGATAGTAATAATAATATAATAATATAATATTCTATTCTATAATTCAATCAATATGAAAAAAATATAACGTAGAGAGAATTGATAATATTCATTTAATAAGATATAAAATTTCCTGGAAAATGCAACAAAATGTCCTGGAATTTAACTTTTAAAATTTTGTGGCCACCATGTATTACGTAACGCGAAATTAAACATATAGACAAAAGAAATATCTCAAAAACCGTGTTTCTCTCATAGTCAACTATATGCTGCATTTTCAAGAACTATAGCATTTAATAGTTTGTTTTTCAAAATTGATAAACATCTTATTCAAGGTATAGTAGGTAAAAAAATGTAAATATTGTTATATTTTTTAATGTTCTTAATTTATAGTCTTCAGATTTTCATTTCAAAAATTTACTGTTAAAGGTTTTGAGCAAATTTTGTATGTATAACTTTATTTATCATTATTTATTTTTTTTCATAGTTTTTGGTAAATATATCTATCATTCAATAGTTGTAAAATGTGTTTATACGTGTTACATAAAGTCATATTTGTTTATAGTTGTATATATGTTTAAATTATAAAAGCCAAAACAACAATTTATATCTTAGTTTGATATTTTTTTTTAGTATTGTTAATGCTTTGGTACTTAGAAACAGGTTTTATAGTTACATTTTCAATAAATCCTTATAAGGATTTATCGAAAATGTAACCTATTTTTAAATTGCAGTTATAACTGCAATTTAAAAATAGGTTACTATAAATAGGTTAATCGATTTTTGGTAATTGTGTGGTGGTTTTTTTTTTTTTTTTTTTTCTTTGTTATTATGATATCATAAATTCATTACTTTTTTATTTTAGAATTACGTTATGACGCATTTGTAAGATTTATAAAATAAAAAAACCTGATTTCTTTTTATTGTAAATTTTTGTTAGTTAAAAAGATATAAATATATGCTATTAGTTAATTTTATATTTTATCTATTTTATGCCTAATAATTTGTTGTACGTATTTTAAGGGGATTTTTTTAAGTTGGGGGTCGTAACTAAAAACCTTTAAAAACATGGAGAATATTGTAGTTTAGCGCATTAATATCGAGTTACTTAAGTTTGATTTATGTGTTCAACTAATTAGTTAGCTTAGTCTGAATTTGCAACACTTGTGAGGAAAAAAAGAAAACATTCTTATATATATAGATCATTGTTTTACATTTTATTATTTTATTTTATTCACCTGGCACCATTAAAGCAAAAAGAGGGGAGGAATCTCTTTATTAGAGTCAAAATATTTAGGAAAATTAAATTTCGAGTTACAAAAGGATTTTTTAGTAAATGATGGCAAATTACCGTTTACTAAAAAATTAATGAAATAAAGAGGCAGAACAAATAATATAAAAATGATCTGTGTTGAACAGACTTAACAAGACCCTGGTCGGGTCAGCTTGGTTTACAAATTTTTATGTCTACTTATCTCTTATAATTTTTATTTTAGGTTTGTCGCATGATGCATTAATGCATTAAAAAATTTGTTATACCCTTATAATCAATATGAAAAAAATATAACGTAAAGATAATTGATAATATTCATTTAATAGGATATAAAATGTCCTGGAAAACGCAACAAAATGTCCCTGCTCGACAACCTTCAAGCCTGTTATTTCAAAATGTTTTCAGTTTTATTCCATGAGAAGGATTACTTTCCGAGACACTAAACCCTTTGATAATCTTATTAATGTTCTTTTGAACAGCTTCTATGGTTTGTTCTGATGTTAGACCAAGAGAATAACAAATATAAATTTGTTTGATCGTAAATTAAATTTTTTCGTTTGAAAGGTATTTGTTCTCAGTTTTGTAGTTATTTATAATAAACTTTGTTATTTTTAATAAATTTATTTAAATGTGTGCATTTAACATTTTTAAGTTAACAATTTTCTTTTATAAAGAACAATTAATCAAGGGGATACCAAAAAATTGATAACTCCTGTATAATATAAGTTAACTTCATTTTAATCTTAATGGTTCGTATTATAAAAATTATTACAAGGGTTTAGTTGATACTTTTGTCAATTTAAAGCATGACCAAGTTTTCTCATTTTGTGTCAGTAACTAAAAACGTATTGTGTTAAACTTAGGAAGGTCGATGAAAATGTTTCTGTCGTACACTGTTATGACCTATGCCATTTGTAAATTACTCAAATAATGTTAAGTAGTAATTGTAAATGTTAAATAGTA